GAAGGGAGAGGTCTCATGATAGCTAAGTCTAAAATGGGCCCTAGAAGTTGCCCACCAGCAGATGAATGGATAAAGAAAGTGTGTATATGCACAATGGAGTATTACTCAACCCTAAAGAATGATAAATTTGAGTCATTTGTAGGAAAATGGATATACAGAGAGACCACAATACTCAGTGAAATAAACGAGATACAGAAGGTTAAATGCCACATAATTTCTTTTATACAAGAAACCCAGAAGTATAAATAAAGAGCAAAGTAAAAGGTAGATGACGGAAACATGGAGGTAGACTTTGTGGAGATGGGAAGGGAATCTGGGGTTAGGGGAGTTGGGAGAAGGGGGAGAACGTCAAAGCGTAACAGGAATTAGTGAGGCAGGAGTTAGGATCCTATCAGGAATAGGGACAGCAGACCCAAAACGGAGTCGGGGAGCCCAACGTGGAGCCTGCTGAGCCGCGACCCTCGAGGTCTTACAAAAACTCCTCCCAGGTGTCCCATGGCTGTCTGGGGCCCCCTGGGGCACAGTCAGGTGGGCCATTGGCTCAGGGCACAATGGCCCTGCATGGATACTGCACAGATTGGACCCTAAATATACCATCTCCCATAGGGCAGAGATTATATTGCTTATACAACGGCCCGAGCTCCCTTTCAAATCCCATAAACCCCTAGGCAAAGAGTCCTTGTGGGTATCCTACTCAGATACCCCTCCTGGCTAGTGGGAGCTTTATTTCCTTGCCTTTATATCTTTAAAATAAAATTGTTTGTACCATACCTCCTCCTCCATCCGTGGTTTCATTCTTTGTCACAGTGGGGTGCAACCCGGGTGCTCTGGTAACAAAAGGTTTAAGATGGATATGTATGTGTGTGTGCCAATCCCCAAGATAAATGTAAGTATTATGCATCACAAACATGTACTGATAAAAATACAGTGGATGCTGCTTCTAAGTGCCAGCCAGTGGAAAGACAGGCCCATAAATATATTATGTTGTGTCCTCATCCATCTTATTCACCAGATCTGGCACTGTGTGACTTCCGGCTCCTCCTCAAAGTAAAAATGAACATGAAAGGTAAATGTTTTGAACTGATTCCATGACAGTGCAACTAAAGATGTTCGTGAAAGAGAACTTTCATAACTGCTTCAAAAAATGGCGAGAATGATGGGAGAAATGTGTTGAATGCAGAGGAAGTGTATTTTGAAGGGATTAATGGCAATGTGTCTTTACTGTCAGGATTGTTTTTTAATTAGGAGAAAAACAAAGAAAGGTGTGAGTCACTGTTGGTGTGTCATTTTCATGCCACTGTTTCCAGCTAAGGCCACTGCCCCTCCCCCCGTGACCGAGGCAGTCTCTACAGGACAAAAAGAAGCTAAGGAAGGCACAGGGCACCCCCAAGACTTAGCATTCCCATGTCCAAGACACCGTGAGCCTGGTCTTGGAGGTTGGGTGAATGCTATGAGCAGCAATTCCAGCCCCTGCTGGGTGGTGGCAATCTTTGGTAGGTGTACAGGACAGCAAGGGAGAAGGAGGGCCGTTGATGTTCCTCATGTTCAAAGGTCTGGGATAAATGTGGAGTCATGACAGCTTTGATTTGGGCAGGGACAGGGACCCGGACCCGGACTGGAGATTCCAGAGAACCTGTCAGGACCAGGGCTGAGCCAGACTCCTGGAGTCGGGATGGAGCAGAAGGAGCTCTTGTTGTCATCTTCCTGGCTGCAGATTCCAGGGGCGGGCACCTCCCGCTCCGATGCCACCCTCCCTGGGACAATGCTTCCTCGGAATGTGTCCAAGGACAGTCACCATGGCTAATTACACAGATTACCTCCGGCCATTCACAAGGTCCAATCAAAACAAGGCAATTGCCCTGCAGAGCAGATGGGGGGGACTGCAGGGGAGGGAGGCAGGGTCCTCCAGGGCCACTTGGTGTGTGATAAAAGGGCATCGGGAGGCTGGCTGGGAGCACAGAGCTGACTTGGGGACCATGCAGCTGCTCCTGCTGGCCACCGGGCTGAGCCTTTTCTCTGCAGTGCCAGCTGCCTTGCCTCCGCTGCTTCCTGCCCGTGCTGAGGAGGTGACATCCCTGGGGAGGCGTGGAGAGGGACCTGGGGTTCCAAGGTCAGGGTCTAGACTGGATGAGAGTTTCATATCCTTTGATCAGAGCCCCAGCGGGGCTTGCCAGGATGGCCTGTATCACGCCCTTGGGTCTGCTCACCTGAGCAGTGGGACCAAGGCAAGCACTCCACCTTCCTGCCTCCCAGGAGGCTGCACAGAGGCTGTGTGGCGGCTTAGCGAGGCCGCCCCAGTCTGTCGCTGTGCTGGTCGTTACCATCGCTGTGGCCCAGGGCTCTGCTTCTTCACTCTGTCTGCTGTGGGTTCCAGAGAAGCCTCTTCCCTCCATCAGAAAGGATGCACCCCAGCATTTTCATTTCCAAGTGGAAAGCTCACACATGAGAGTCTTCACAAACCCAAGAGTTTTACATTTTTAACTCTGACCCAGGTGGGTTTATGACAAGATTTAAGCCCCTGGAGAAGGTCCGACTTAATCCCGGTCCCCAGTGCTGACGGATAAATGTGCCTGGTTGCAGCTTCCTGTATCTACTGGCCTGGTCTCCAACAGGTTCGGGGCTCAAGGCCATTGTCCAGACACCCCAGCTCCACCTAGCAGCAAGTCCAGCTCCTGGCCCAGCCATCTTGAGCCCAGGGCCTTCCCACGGGGATGTGCAGCAGGCCTCTTCCCCCTCGGGGAGCTGGCCAGCTGCCATGTTCTCCTCCCTGCTCTTCCCGCACCAACACCTGGTCTGGATCCTCCCCGATCCTTGCACCTGGGGCCGACATCCATGAGACCTTGCGGGCCTCACCCACACCCCCAAGCCCCTGGGTAGAGGTGGCGAATGATCTGAAGAGCTGTGAACAAGACGGACACTGCATCTGAGGTCCAGATGGAGCCCTGGATTTAAGGACTCTGCGACTGTTGAATTCAGCGATATTTATCCCTTGGATCCAGGAGAACATCAATGAGTCCAGTGTCTAGAGGACCTGGGGAAGGAGGCGTAGACCAGAGCCTGGGGGCTGCTCCCAGCCCAGCAGCATTGACTGTGGCCGTCTGCCAAGCTGCCCCTCAGCCAACGCCTTGCCTTGCCGTCCCCCATGCCTGGTTCCCCCCTTATCTGCTGTCTGTCTTCCTCTCTCACTCCCTGGTCCTTTGGGTTACTTTTCCCACCTCCCCCTTGGAGGTCTGTGCAGGGCCCTGGTCAGAGCCACCCCCAGGAAGTGTGTCATCTAGGTGGACCCCTGTCCTGGCCCTCCTGGCTCAGCCTCCTGCTGATGGAGAGGGGCCATGCTGTAGCCAGGACCCCCCCCCCCCCCCCAAAGCCTCAGGCCCTGCAGCCTGCACTGAGGCTCTAAGCCAAGGCCCCAAGCCGAGGCCCCTCCCGCCTCTGCCCTCTCTTTGGCTCCAGCCTGGGTCCCCTTTTCTGGCTCCCCTCCCCCTGCTTCCCTGCTCAGGGATGGCCTCCCCCTCCAGCTTACAGGAACCTGGTACATGGTACGCTGGGCAGGAGACATGCCTATTCCCGATGACACGAGGAACCACCCGATGCCTTCCTTCACATTGCGCACAAACAGTCAAAATAAGTTGGAGTTCAGGATGAACCTCATGTGAGTACCCTGTGCCCAGGCTCCCCTCTCTGCTCGGGGCGCAGAGCCCACCTTCCACCCTCATCTGAACTCATTCTGTCCTCTGTGTGGAGTAAGTCCTCCTCTCCCCTTATCCCTCTCAGCGATGTGCCTGGTGACCTCCCTAGCTGCAGGGACAATGCTCACTCTGACGCCGACCTCCTCGTTCTGTGCAAGTGCTTGAGGTGGCCTGGGCTTTGCCATACAGCACTACCTGCTCCTGGAGAAGCCCTGTGCTGGCCCTGTGCTCATTTTTATGCACAGACAGCACTCTGGGATCCTTCAGGATTCTTTAGCAGATTCTCTCGACTATTAGGAGCCAAGGATAGACCCAGGACCTTGTCATCTGAGAAACCCATTTGGAGAAACATCTGGAGACCCAGGGAAGACCTGGCCTCCTAGGTAGGAGATGGTCAGGTGTGAGCCAGGGGCCAGGCTGTCCTGAATTCACAGTGTGGATGGGGCATTGGCTCTCCACCTGGTCAGCTTCTCCCTAGTTGGTGTCACCTGGAGAGGGAATACGGAGCTCACAGCAAGCCACGCTGTGGGGGCTGTGGGCTGTTATTACAGAGAAAGTCTAGCTATCTTGCTGGCACATGAGTATCATCCCAGCTACTCAGGAGACTGAGGCAGGAGGATCACAAGTTTGAGGCCAGGCTGGACAACTTAGTGATTCACTTTCTCTAAAAATGTAAGTTAAATGGATGGATGGATAGATAGGCAGACAGAAGACAGATAAATAGGTGGGTTGGGAATATCACTCAATAGTAGAGTACCCCTGACTTTCATTTCTTTTTTTTTTCTGACTTTCATTTCTAATACCACAAAAAAGAAAGTGCTAGCCAGGAGTTCCTGAGCCTTGTCCTCTAGACTAGGATAGGAGCCTCCAGAGGGTGTTAGAGACCCCCAGCCTGGGCTGCCTGGGGTCTTACTTGGGCTTGCGTTTCTGCCGGGTGCCAGATCCTGACCAGCCACAGCTGTTTAAGGAGCCTTATGTGCCAGTACAATGTAACATCTAGTTTCAGTTATCCCTTGCCAGCCCCAGGCTCCAGGGTCCTGGGAACCTGATGGTGGGCTGGGCACAGAGGTGAATCACCCTGGCTCACAGCAGAGAGAAGTGAGGAGGGACTGGCCAGGTATCAGCCTAGGGAACCATGTTTATATCCTGTGTTCCAGGAAACCCATTGGGTGCATTGAGTTCAAGCTGCCCCTGGATACAGGAGATGAACCAGGCACCTTTGTAACCCGTAAGTGTCCGGGTGGGAATGCTTTCTTTCAGGAGAATCTGGACAAAGAGACCCAATGCTCACATGGCCTGTGTCACCTGCAGGGTGGAAGCACACCATCTACGTCTACTTCCTGCCAGGGAAAAATCACGCCATCGCCTACTTCAAGGGCTACATGAACTACATGTACTACCAGATGATGATGGTTATGGGTGCGTCCCAGCCCTGTCTGAATTTGTGAGACTTCACGGTCTAGGCATGGGGAAGGGGAGCCATCTTCTCACCCAGCTCTGACCAGTTCCCACCCAGGGAGCCCTTGCTGAGATCCCTGGACTCTGGTAGGGAGAGGGATGTCTGAGTTCTTGGATCTGCTCATCCTCAGCTCTCATGGAACCAATCCTGGCGGCTGAAGCCCATGGCTCCTTGGGACCCATTAGGCCCTGGCTCCTCCCTTTCCTCCTCCGTGACTCTTGGCACAGTCATACTCTGACCAGACCAGCTGGTCAAGGCCCCTTTGCTCCCAGAAACATGGAGCTTCGATGTCTGGAGACGTGGCTGTTGTCAGGACAGAGACAGTAGAGTCCTGTCACTCAGGGGCAGAGGCCAGAGCTCTGCTCCAAACCTGCTGTGGGCTGGACACCCCACCAGAAGAGCAGCCTCCCCAAAGGTCAGCAGATCCTCTCAGCGCCACTCCACTGCCAGAGCCTCATCTCCACCCTGAGGCTCACAGCTCTCCCCACGCTCTCTGATCTCTGTCAGAGTCCTCCAGTGCTTCTGCTCCAAAGACTCTTCCCAGTTCAGAGCCCCACAGGGCTGCCTCATCAGCCTAGCACAGCATTCCTTGTCCATCTCCCGTGCCTCCCCACACTGCCTCCTCATCTGGCCATCCCTGCCTCCTGCCTCCCGGGGGCTCTGGGCCTGAGGGGTCCTGTGAGCACTGTGCAAGGGTCTGGGCCGGAGCAGGAAGATGCAACAGAAACCCCACTTCCTGCACACTTCTGAGAGAGATTCCAGGACTATGGAGGCTGGGCAGAGCCCCTGGAGAAGCTGAGGGAACAATGGCCCCCAGATGAGACTCGATGGGCAGGGGAGTCTCTATGGGCCAGGCTGGGGGATAGGAACTTGCTCAAGGGGGGCTGGGGGCTGATTCAGCAAGAAGGGTACAGACATGTGGACCCCTCTGTTTCTGCTTTATGCTCCCTCACGTCCCTCACAGAGGGGCTGGGGCAGGGCACCCCCAGGCCCACAGTGTAGGCAGTTCTGCCGCTGTTCCCTGCTCACAGGGCCCGGGGTGCTGACATCCGTTTCTCACAGAGCCTTCAGATTGTCCTGGCAGCATGTGGAGGCCCTGGGGAGTGTGAGCGTCCAGCTTGGAGTGAGGGGCCCCACATTCCTCCTCATACCCACATGGACATGGGCATCTCACCTTCCCATGCCCACTTTACCCATCTGACCTGCAGCCCACACCCTGGATGAAGACCCGAAGGCCCTGGGGATGTTTCAGGAGTTTGTGGACAGCAAGAATCTGAAAATAAATGAACTCATTAACCCTCCTCGTACTGGTAATGAGAAGGATTTTTCCTGATTTCCTTTCCCTTTCACTCATGATTTCCGTTATCCCCGGGCTATACCTTCACCTTTTCTTTTCTTGAGTCAAATGGTGACTACGTGAACATGCCTCCTTGCCCCTTATCTCCTTCCGGGTCCACAGATGCCTGTAAGTTGGCCAGAGAGACTTAGTACAAGGAAGGAGGCCTAGGAACGAGGAGCTGGCACTCCACTGCCTTTCACCACCCACAGGCAGAACTCGCAACGGCAAGAGGACAGGACCCAGCTCCCACGTCTCCCCAAGCTTCTGCTGTCAATAAAGTCGGTCAACTTCCTCTGGCCATATGCATCACATGAGGTCTACTGGGCTTGGATTTTTTTTGGTGTAGGGTTGGAACTCCATGTCTCCTGCATGCTGGGCACATGCTCTACCACAGAGCTGCTTCCCCTGCCCATTTGATGTTCTTTTGAGATAAGATGTCCATAAGTTTTCCAGGTTGGCCTCAAGCTCAGCCTTCCAAGTAGCTCAGATGACAGGTATGTGTCAACACACCTGGCCTGGGTTTTGTTTTAGCAGGAGTGGCAAGAGGCTCAGTCATGACCCTGATGATCAGGAGGGAGGGAATTTCCATCACATTCATAGTTCTCTGCACACAGGTGGCTGTCACAGCAGCAGGGCCACTGGTAGAGGAGCACAGCAAGCTGGGAAGATGGGGAGAGGGCCTGGGGCAAGAGCCTGAGAGGGGGAATCATGGTGACAGAAAGGGGCCAGGCTTACAAGTGGCGAGTGGGGGAGATTCTAGAAGTCTGGACTTTCAGAGTGGTCCCTGGTGGTCTGATATCTGGTGCTGGACAGTGGCCCAGGTGTGAGTTTTTTGCATTGGCGAGGTAAGACTTACAGGTGAGGTCTTTACCATCCCTGGAAATGAGCTAACTTAGGAGGGCTGGACTCTCAAGGGCAGCAAAGCCTGGATTCAGAGCACCAAATATGCAGAAAATAGGACAACACAAAAATGCTCATAGCTGAGTCCAGATTCAAAGGAATGAGAAATTAGCCTCTCCTCTCCTCAGGAGAAGTTTATATGGGGCAGACTGGAAGATCAGAGGGGTGGGGAGACTGATTCAGTAAGAAGGTCACAGATATATAATACATGGTGTCAAATGCTCACGTATTCCACAGTCTTTCCTATGTCTGTGGTTATTTGCACGAAAAGTACATTCAGCACCTCCTAAGGCAGCACCTCCAGTTATCATGGAACTATGAGGTTCTGACAGAAAGACTCAGAACAAAACGAAGTCTGCCTGTGTGTGAGGTTCCTAAGGGGCAGTGAAGGCAAGTTCTTAGCTCAGCCGGTCCCTTGTACAGTCTCCGCTCACTAGTGAGGCAAGCACTGTGGATGTACTACTACTCATTGTAGGAGAAAAGAGGGTTAGAGGACCCCAGAGGGGTCCTGCACCCTCCCCAAGAAGAGCACTTCCATGGCCCAGGCTGGAAATGTCCTGCTCATGAGGCCTCGGAGGTCAGATCTCCAGGAACCTCCTCTTCTCACTGTGTTGTCCTCTAAAGCTGTCCTTCATGGAAGAGGCGGGGCAGCTGGGGCAGGGCATCCCTGAGCCCAGGATATGCCTGTGCAGGCAATTCTGCACCTGTTCTCTGCTCTCCTGGGTCAGGGCTGGTGGAATTCGTCTCCAGTGGAGCCTGAAGATGACAGAAACATACCTTCAGTCAGCCTTGTAGGGGGCCCATCTGCTTCAGTGCTTTGTGCCCAAATGATACTCAAATGTTCCTTGTGTCCTAAGGCTTAGGTCAGGGCACTGGGCTTTGAGGTCCTTTCAGGCACTGGGACCTTGGGTGGATACCCTCCTCAGTGCCCTGGACATCCATGGGTAATAGCGATTTCCCTGAGGTCACTGAACACAGAACTAAATAAGCCAGTGAGTAGAGAGAAGCCCTGTTCAGAGGAGCTCACAATGGCAGGGACTGGGGATAGGGTTTGGGGCTCTTGAGGGCCTCACAGAAGCACAGGAAGGGAACCATAGAAACAGATGAGATTTTGCAGGGCTGGCTCCTCAGATATGTCTCCTTTGCAGCTAGAGCAATGTAAGACCTTGTCAATAGGGAATGCTGGAGGATCACCTGCAGCAGGGGCTTTCCTGTAGATAGATTTCAGGGTCTTATTCTTCCTTCTTGTCCTACGGTGCTTGACTGGCAAGCAGGTTGCCCAGTGGAGCTCACCTCAGTGCTGGCAGCATCAACCTGGGCAGGATCCTAGAGAATTCCATGGGTTCCCTAGCCCACTAGCACCAACCTTGTCAAATCTCTGTGCCACCCCAGGGCCCAGGCACACTCTGTTCAGGGTGACTGTGTTGAATTTTCTACCCCAATGGTGGAGAGAATCTTGCTGATTTCTGCTATTTCCATATTCTTTAGCATTTCCTTTGCCTTATAGTAAGCTCTGTCTTGTTACCAGTTACTAACTCTTCGTATTAAACTTTGCTCAAGTTCCTGTGCAACCTGCTCCTGACACTCCCTATCCTATTAGTCAGATCTTTTATTTTCTGTGTTGTGATGTTTGACAGTTGGCAGTGCCCACTGGTGGCAATTCTGGAAGGTAGTGCTCTGTGCTGCTGCCACAAAGACTGGGAGACTGAGGCCTTGTCCTTCCCATTGATCATATTTTAGATAACAGGCTTTCACGTCCTTGGAGAGATACTACTAAGTTACATGCAAATTCAGTGAGAAGCCTTGTTTAGAAAATGCGCTAAGAAAGGGCTGTCTGGTGTTGGCCCTAACTGACAATTCTCCTGGCAGCATGAGGTCCTCAGTTGCCTTAGGGTCCTGGCCTGATGTTGCTGGGATGTGGTCACCTTAGTGTGGGGTGGCCTAAAATCATCATGTGCCAAGAGTCTTGGAGTTCCCAGCACATGCATGATGATGTGCTCTACCAGATTTAACATTAGAAGGAAGCTCTCTGGGCCTAACACCCTTACCACCTACCCCACCCAGATGCTCCAGTAGCAGATTCCAAAGATGGGAAACTCTGGTTCCCTCAGACAAGGGAGGAGGCTCATAGTTTGGGGATCAATACTCTCACTTTCACCTGAGCTTTTATAAATATTCCACTTCCATGCATCAGGTCTCCTCCTTAAGGATCCAACTATCATGTGAATGACGTGGTTTAATTCAACATACCAAACATACCAGTTTAATTCAACTTAACAAACAATTCTTTGAGCCACACTATTAAATTCTGCATCTGAGTTTTCAGCCATTGGTGCTACGTGGATATAAGAATTGTTCCTACATTGTTGTTGGGTTTTTTCCCATTTAGTTTATTGGTACATTTTAGGTATAAAATACAGTTAAATTCATCATTGGGATCTTGTACTTTACATGATGCATCTTGGTTCTTATTTTTTCCCCATTCCCCTGCTCTCCCTTCACCCCCTCCACCCTTCCCTATTTACAAAGACTTTGTTTCCATGTTTTTCCTTTTCTCATATTTTTTCTTTTCCTTTCTTTCCTTTCCCCTTCCCCTTCCCCTCCCACTTCCTGTATTCCTTTAAACATTTTCTTCCTATTTCACAATATCAGTTATACATTTTGATTCTTATTTGCACTTTTAGTTTTTCACACCAGAGAAACTATTCGGTATTTACACGTGTGTCCTATTTATTTCACTTAAGAGTATTGCCTCATTGTGCATGCACTTAGCTATAAATGTTTCTAGTTTCTCATTTTTTAGGCTGAGTAGTACTCCGTTTTAGAAAAAACCCCACAACTTCTTTATCCAGTCTCCAGTTGATGGGCAATTGGGCAGTCTCCAAGTTTTAGCTATCACAAACTGTGCCACTACAAACATGGGTGTGAATATATCACTGTGATATGATTCTTTTAATTCTTCTGGGAAGATGCCCAGTAAAGGAGTAGCTAGCTGGATCAAATGGGACTTCCAATCCTAGTTGTCTGAGGTATCTCCATATTGATTTCCACCAGTCTGCACCAGTCTGCACTCCCACCAACAATGAAGAAGCATTCCTTTCTCCCAACAATCCCACCAGCACTTGTTATTGGTTGATTTCATGATAGCAGCCATTCTTTCTGGGATGAGGTGGAATCTCAGCGTTGTTTTCATCTGCATCTCTTGAAAGGCCAGTGATGTTGAACATTTTTTCATATATTTATTTGCTGCTTTTACTCTGTCTGAGAAATGTTGTTACTGCATTGCTGAATCTGCCTGAATTGGGTTGATTGTGTTCTGTCTGCACTTTGTATTATTTTGGTTCTAGGGTCCTCCCAAAGAAGACTTGCTGGGAGACCTGCAGAAAGAAACTCAGAGTCAAAAATGGCAAGCTTAGAGAGAACTTATTGGGTAGAAAAAAATTACTGTATTAAGCAAAGTAATCTTTTATTGAAGGTAATGGTACACTTGAGAAGGTTCCAAGCATACAGTAATTAGAAATGAAAAAGGTGAAATCACAACAGACATCATCAAACTCCATAAAATTATTAGCAACTACTTCACAAACACATATGCCAGAAAGTTGGAGAGTTCAGAAGAAATGGAGAGATTCACAGATACATATGAATTACCAAAAATGAAACAAGAAGACTTAAAAATCTTGAACAATGCAATACCAGGCAATAAAATTGAAACAGTAGTAAAACACTATCAAGTAAGAGAATCCCAGGACCTGAGGGATTCACAGTCAAATTTTACATGAATTTCAGGGAAGATCTAACACCAATACTCCTCAGAGTCTTTAATGAAATTGAAAGGGAAGGAATACTCCCAAAGTCATTACAAGAATCTATCATTACTGTGATTCCAAACCTAGACAAGGATCCAACCAAAAAAGAGAATTACAGGCCAAGCTCACTAATGTACATGGATGCAAAAATCTTTGATAAGATATGGCAAGGAGAATGCAACAAATTATCAAAAAGACTATACACCACAACAAAGTTGGCTTCATCCCTAGAATGCAAGGATGGTTCAATATAAGCAAATTAATAAATGTAATTCATCACACTAACAGAAGCAAAGACAAAAATCACATGATCATCTCAATAGACATAGAAAAAACCTTTGACAAAATCCGACATGCATTCACAATAAAAACCCAGAAGAAAATAGGTGTCTGAGGACCTTACCTCAATCTGATAAAAGCCATCATGACCAACCTACTGCCAACATCATAATAAATGGGGGAAAACTGAAAGCTGTCCCTCTAAAATCAGGAACAAAACAACGATATTCACTATCACCACTCTTGTTCAACATAGTCCTCAAAACATTAGCCAGAGTAACCATGCAAG